GGTATGCAAAAAAGACAAATTCCTAATACAAGAAACTGTATATGGCCAATAAAGTGATATATCTTATCTTAAAAATAAAGAGCACTTTTTTTTATAACTTTCGGTCTGTTTTCCTTAGGCCTACCTATTGAAAGACTTGCTAACCTTGCTAAGTTTTTCGTCTGCTAGATTTACTTTAGTATAATTTTGATCATGATATTTAATGTTCCCTTTTAATTTTAAAAGATATCTTCTAAAATATGAAAGAATTTAATATACCCACACTATGACTACATTTTGAGGAAAATGATGTGTGCAGATGTGCAGGAGACTAATTATACAGATAGAACTTCTGTGAAACACTGTGCTACAGAACATTTTTTGTTGCTACATAAATTATTGTGATTTTAGTATGATTCCAATGAAATTCCTAGAATTAAAACTGAACAGCAAATTCCATTCTGTAGAACAATGTTTATTATTATTACTTGTTCATTGTTTATGTACTGTACAGCATGACATATTTTGTGATTAATGTGATTTATTTGATTTATGTACCATAAACTGACACTGAAGAGTAATGCATATTCTTTCCACAAGACTCAACTTGAATGCCATGGCTTTTATTTAAAAAGCAAACACCTAATACTGTATTGTTTAATATTTACATACAGTTTATAGGTACATAAAAATGTATCTAAATGTCTTTGTTGATGCATCTTTTCCCTAATGCTATTAAGAAATATATTCTTTCTCCTTTTTGGAGTGTCACTCAAAGCAGGCAACACACAGCATTCATTTTGTTTTTATTATTACTTTCCTTTGGAGTAGTGATGAGAACACATAAAGTACACGTGGAAGAATAATCATGCCACAAAATTGCATAGAGTCTTTTTTAGTATGTTTTACAAAAAAAATATCAATGCATTTTTAACAATTCTATCATTATAGACCAAATATGGATACGGTATCCTCTGAACATATCAGATATCATATTAAAGGTCAATCACAAAGTAAGACAACACTCACAGACATCTGAATACAATTTACAAGAGCCACATTTATTTTTAAGAAACACAAGCAAGGTCCCTTTAAATCTTAATGTTTTCCTTTGCTTCTTATTGTTTTTATTGTGGAATCATGTATCAAGAACCCCAAAAACCGTATATATTTAATATAATTAATGGAAATAATGAAGTACTGTATACAGAACAAGAAAAGATGAAAAAAATGTCTGGCATTTAATGAAACTCAAATGAAATCTTTCTAAAATACTGTTCATTTCAAGCTGAACTCAGTAGTGTATTAAAAGTGCACAATCTATTTAAATACAGAAAGCTTCATGTAATACAATGGCAATGTACACAGTAATGCATTTCACACATTCAACATCTAACAAGGCAAACACATTAAAGGCACAGGACTTTTAACATCATAGAGACCTTTCTATTTTTTAAATTTATCTTAATCAAATAAAGTCTTAAATTTAATTCAAGTAATATTAAAATCAATAAAAAGACATCCTTTTTTTAAATTGCAGTGGTTTAAAACAATTTCAATGCATTAAAAAGCCAACACTAACTTTTACTACAGAACCTGGCACTGTACAGAGTTATTTTATTTAAAAAAAAAGTGAAAAAAGCAAACATTCCAGATTTTTAAATGGCTCCCATTTGATGATGTGGCAAAGATGCTACCGTAAGTTCCACTGCAAATATACTGCATATTTCACATGTAAATGGTTGACTTGCAAAGCTGTAAGTTTCTACAAAATACTAATTTAAGAGATTTTTATAAAATGCAGCATTGTGTGTGTTTTGGATATCTATTAAATAGTTTTAAAAAATCCACCTTGACTAAATAACATAAATTTTGAAGAAGAAATCAATTTAAGGCCATATATTATTAAATAAATTATTGAATGGTTGCTGAATAAATAAAATATCTTTTGAAACAATTAATGTGTATTATTTAAATTTAGATTTTGTTTTTGAAAATAAGCTACTCTACATCTGTAAATCACCCAAAAACAAACAAACACTATTGCCTAGGATACCTACACATTTATTTATATAGTGCCTTGCAAAAGTATTCATAGTATTCTTTTTTTAAATTACAAAATGATTCAAACACACTTTTTAAACTTAAACAAATACTCCCAAATACTCCAACTGAAGACTTCTGAGGGCAAGATAAGTTACACTTAAGGTCAGCGAAAATAAAAGAGTTAAAAGAGAAAAAGGTCAGCAAAAATAAAAGAGTTAAAAGAGAAAAAAAAATTATTGCATAAGTATTCAGACCTTTAAACTCATTAATATTTTGAAGCACCTTTGGCAAATCTTTCTGGGTAGGTCTCTACCAACTTTGCACACTGGTTTGCTACAGTGTTTGCCCATTCTTCTTTGCAAATTTGCTCTAGTTCTGTAATGTTCATTAGGGATCACTTATTGACAGCAATATTCAAGTCTACACACAGACTTTGAATTGCTTTCAAAGCAGAACTTTAATGGGACCACTCAAGGTCTCTTCTTGTTTATGCCACTCCAGATTAGGTTTGGTCTTGTGCTTTGGGTCATTGTCTCACAGGAAGGTGACTTTTTGTCCTAGCTTTAGGCCTGAAACAGGTTTTCTTATAACGTTTGCCAGTACCTTGCTTCATCTATTTTCTCATCAGTGTTGACAAGCTTCTAAGTGCTTGCTGATGAGGAGTGGAACTATAGCATACAGTGTTGTGTTTGTGTCAGATATAACACTTTCCATTTAGAAGGTTTCAATTTTGTCTTTCTAAGTACAAAACCTTTTGCTACATGTTTTCATTATCTTTTAAATGCTTTGTTGTAAGCTCTGTCCAGGAACTGAGATAGGTTTTCTACTCTGGCCAGCTTTTTAGTGACTGGGCTCATCAGTTAGGTGTCTGGGTGTTATGAGCCACAGTCCACTTCTTATTATTATAGGGATATTGATCATAATAAATATGGATATTATATTAAGTGTTTTGAATTTTCTTATAACTTTATTCCTGACGTGCTGTTCTAAAACGTTTTTCTTTCAGTTGTTTTGTGAACTCCTTAGTATTCAAACTGACAGGAACCTCACAGAGACAGGTGTTTTTATTCTTAACACCTCATGAGAACAACTATTACCATTATTATTACACACAGAAAAAGGCCATTCATTTAACTGTGTAGCTAATTAAAGCAATTTTGTGTACGTAAATTCATTTATTTTTGAAAACATAAAGGATTTGAATACTTATGCAATCATGACTGTTCCATTTACTTTGTTTTTTGCTTTGAATGTCTGGAGTAGGTTGTGTATGCAACAAATATTAACTTCTACTTCAGTGCGTTATGATTACATGTTTTATAGCAAAAATATCTGAATACTTTTGCAAGTAATTTGCAACCTACAGAGAAGTGACTATACTTAGAAGTATAGAATATAGGTAAATGTGAAAATAACTGTATTGTTTCTGTAAAAGAAAACAGAGGCAACAAACAAAAGTAATTGTAGATTTATTCAGAGAAATGTAGAGGAGCAGGTCTATTGTTAAAACCATATTAATCATGTTAGTCCTTGACTTAGACACATTTTTAAAATTGTTTAACAGTAGTTTAATACATCTCTCTAGGGATCCTTCCATAATGTGTGATTATATACTGTACAAATTTCAATGATTACCTGTTTCAATATCCATGTTAAATCATTTGAGCTGTATTTCATTTTGGTCACTATAAGAACTATTATGATTTTATTTCCATTATTATTTTGAAGTTAGCAGCTGCAAACCACCTACAGCTTTCAAATACTGTATATGACATTGTATCTGCTGAGAACAATAAGATTTCTAATTTGATTTCCTTCTTTAATAGTTACTTATAGTAATTCAGTTCTTGATCAGGAACCATAATGAGAAATAGTGGTTATCTTTTATTTCAATTAATTATAATAACTGTGTTATAAAAATACAGAATACTGTAGAACTGTCAAAATTAATAAAGTTCTTAGTGGGCAATGTACATTTTTAAAGTTCAAAATAGGTGAAATAACTATATACTTTACTATAAGAAGCTGGTGAATTTTTTTTTTAAATATGATAAAAGCTCAGGTCTCATATATAAATCTTCATATTGTATTTTCTTCTTCTGAAAAGGGTATCAGCCTGATACCTCACTGGAAGGAAGACCTCAGGATCTGTTCATAAAAGTTTCCTTTCCATAAGTGAAAGTGAGAAAATACAATATGAATTCAGTGAAAATAAATATAACAATATGCAATTTCTGTTTGTGAATCTATGTATTTTCCTGTTTTTTAATAAACATTGAAAGAAAATTTTCAATCTATATCTATGTCAATGAAATTTCACATTATTCACTAGACATCTAACATTTACATGTGTACAATGACACGCAAATTTACCACTTTGTTTAGTCATGCATCCCTGAAACTTTTGTAATTAACCAAACTGTCCACAGCAGAACTGATTACTGGCTTGGTTATGCAAACAAAAGTGTAGTCCTAGAAAGCATATTAGCCAGATATTAAAAATAAAAGAAAAAAATACAAAAAAGTCAATAAATCTCTTAAATATCATATAAAGCAAATATCAAGAAATAACCAGCAGCAACAAATATCTATCTGTATAAGAACAAAGGTAGAACAGCAAGCCACCAGTGCTTGCAGACAAAAGCAAATTACCCTTACTGTTTCAGTGCAAATATACAGTGTAAATGCCTCTTGGGTGCTGTTACATACAACCAGAAAAGGACTTGATATCCTTATTTATGTCTGCAGTGTATGATCAGGAATTTGGGTTTGCTTTGCCTGGCACTTTAAGAAATGCTCACAAAAGTACACCTTGCTTCACCAATAAACACAAACATTCAGGCTGTTACTTAGGTCACCAAAGTATAAACTATTATTATTATTATTATTATTATTATTATTATTATTATTATTATTAATAATAATAATAATAATAATAATAATAATAATAATAATAATAAGGTTTTAGCATATTTAAATCTAAAACACTGGCACCATAACCCATATTACATTAAAAGCATTAATAAGAAATTGACTGCACTATTACACTTTAATTGTTTTTAAAGTAAAGTAAGTTAAAAAATTGAAACGAAAGTTCCTTCCCAAGAAGTGATTCAAGTACATTTTGTTTCCTGCATTTAGAATCTACAGTAACTAATTAAAGCCACTGTTTTAAAACAGCAGGGCATAAATGTCTGAAGTTGTCAGAGAAATAGAAAAAAAATAAAGTAAAATTAAAATTAAGAATTAGCCCAAATCCCTGGAGAATCGCCTACAGTGGTGTGTCAAAGACTTTTTCTGGCATTTCTTCATCTACATCCTCCTCAGACTGCTGGGGCTTGTGGTTCAGTTTTCCACTGTCAGATGCCATGGAAGAAGAGACAGTTGAGTGATCTCCATCTTCAGTGAACTTCCCTTTGGTCGCCTCCTGCACAAACTCCTGAATCTCCACTGGAAGCCTCCTGAACTTGTCTTGGTATTCCTGGTCAAGCTCGCTTTGCAGCTGTAAATAAGATAAGCAGCAGTATTATCAATGTGTCTAATTTATAACAAAGAAAACATTTCTGTTTTAACATTTTGTAAAACCCATTAAACCTAGAGTAGTATCTGCAATAACTGCTAATGTAGGCTTCTTTAATGCAGCTCAATTCAAATGCCCTATTGTAGATATTAAAGGTTGTAATCACAACAATATTTGTTGAAGAAATTTTACATTCACCAGTTGATATCACAAATAATATACTACATGAGAACCTTAAGTGACAGTTTTTAAAGTTCACCAACATGGGTTTGGAAAGAAAATTTCACTTACAGCACACCCCATAAAAGAAAAAAAAATGAAATACAGTACTTATTCAGCACAACTTTAAAGCATACTTTTAATTCTTTTGGGTTCAGAGATTAGGCATTTTAGATCATATTGAGGCAGAACTGGAAACAACTGTAAGCCATGCATTAGTAATTTATGAATGATATATCGTCTCTACAGGTGCAAAAAAAAAGTTTGTGAATGCTTTGGAATTACCTGGATTTCTGCATTAATTACTCATCAAAATGTGGTCTGATCTACTGTAAGTCACAATAATAGACAAACACAATCTGCTTAAACATACAAACAAGTGTGCTTCTTCTTGTCAGTACTGTACACATCGTTTAAACCTTCAAAGTCTAGTTTGGAAAACGTATGTGGAACCTCTAGGCTAATGACTTCTCCAAAAGCTAATTGGAGTCAGGTGTTCCAATCAATGAGATGAGATTGGAGGTGTGGGTTGGAGGTGCCCTGCCCTACAAAAAGGGCACACAAAGGTTGGTTACTGACAGAGTCTGCTCTTCTCAAGAAAGAACTGTCCATGTGAACTGTGCCTTGATCAAAAGAAATATCAGAGGACCTTAGAAGAAAAATTGTAGAGATGCATAAAGCTGGAAAAGGCTACAAAAGCATTTCTAAAGGCCTGGGTGTTCATCAGTCCACAGTATGACAAATTGTCAACAAATGGAGGAAATTCAGTACTGTTGCTACTCTCCCTAGGAGTGGCAAAAATCATGGCAAGAGTGCAGTGGGCAATGCTAAAGGAGGTGAAACAAAACCCTAGGGTAAAGGCAAAGGACCTGCAGAAATCTCTTGAACTTGCCAAAGTCTCTGTTCATGTGTCCACTACAAGAAAAACACTGAACAAGGATGGTGTTAATGGAAGGACACCACGGAGGAAACCACTGCTCTCCAAACAAAAACATTGCTGCACATCTCAGGTTTGCAAAAGACCACCTGGATGTTCCACAATGCTTCTGGGAAAATGTTCTGTGGACGGATGAGATAAAAGTTGAACTCTTTGGTAGAAATGTGCAGCATTATGTTTGGAGGGAAAAAAAGTACTGCACAGCAACACCAAAACCTCATTACAACTGTGAAGCATGGTGGAGGCAGCATCATGGTTTGGGACTGCTTCGCTGCCTCAGGGCTTGGACAGCTTGCTATCATAGAGATAACAATGAATTCAAAATTGTATCAAGAAATACAATAGAAGCTAGAAGTTGGGTGATGCAACAAGACAATGACCTGAAATAGGAGTAAATCAACAACAGAATGGCTTAAAATTTGTGTTCTGGAGTGGCCAAGCCAGAGTCCAGACCTCAACCCAATTAAGATACTGTGGCATGACCTGAAAAGTGCTGTTCATGCAAGGAATCCTAGAAATATCAATGAACTTAAACAGTTTTATAAGGAGGAATGATTACAAAATGTAATTACCTCTAAAATTCCTCCTAACCGTTGTGCAAGTCTCATCAGCAGCAACAGGAAACATTTGGTGGAGGTTATTGCTGCTAAAGGAGGTTCTACCAGTTACTAAATACAAGGGTTCACATTCTTTTTCCAGCCTGGACTGTGAATGTTTAAACAATGTATTCAATATTGACAAGAAGAAGTATAATTGTGTGTTATTAGTTTAAGCAGATTGTGTTTGTCTATTATTGTGACTTAGTTGAAGAACAGACCATATTTTTATGAGTAATTAATGTAGAAATCCAGGTAATTCCAAAGGGTTCACAAACTTTTTCTTGCAACTGTATATAAATGCTAGGTAGCCACAACATACTGTAAAAGCTGGATAGGTACAGATGCACCCATTCAAAATGCATGCTACAACCCCGTACCCTGCGAAATTATCGACAAATCAGCACATTATACTGCAGTATGACCAACAGGCAGCACCCGTGGTGCATTGGTTGTTAGTGAAACGATTGCTTTATTTAATCTTTTACTGTGCAGGTTTAAATCTGCTAAATATTAATTATTAATAGGGAAATATTAGTAGCTGAGCATAAAAAGAAGAGGACCATAACACGTCTGAAAGTCAAAAACTATATCAATTTAGGAACATAAACACATTACGTAAACTGTATGGTATTGGTAGTTTAAATAAAAAATACACACCAGTATTCCACTTTCTTCATAAACATTTATGAAAGTCTTTCATTTGTTTACATACTGTGGTTATTTTTTGGAAATTGTTTTACATGCTCCTTCTGACTATATAAAGTTTATATACATCATAAAAAGTTATAATGTTTTCACCTTTTCTATGAATATTTGCACTTGTTATTGCAGTAAAAAAATGCATACTTTGATTTTTAGGGAATTTTTAGAGAATTTGATTAATATGGAATATAATATGGAATCGCGTATCTAAATAAATTTATAATGCTATAATTATATTCATATAGCTCAAATTATTACAGCGCACTGCATCAATTTGACTCACTCACCCACGATTACGTGGAAACTTTTTGCATATTCTGTTCAGTTATAGCTTAAGCTGTCAAGCGGTGCATTGCTGTTATGGCTTAGACATCTGACGTGCATGCTGGAGGTTGGGGGTTTGAACCCAGCTCTTTCCATGAGTTTTCTTTTAACAAATAAATATTTATATAGCGATTTTTAATTTGACTCATTCAAGCATGCTTACTTTCAAAACATTTTAAAGCTGTTAATCTCGGCTGTGTTTCCAAGCAGCCCTAGACGATCCGGGTTCAGTACCCGCTTACGGCACAAGTTTTTCTTCTAACAAATACTTCTAAAAAATAAAATAGTAAGTACTATGTACACTATATTAACATGTTTTTATTTTTGTATATATTATAACATATTCAGTGTTAAGTTATATTAATAATGAAAAAAATACATGAATTAACAAACATGATAAAGTCAACTGTTCAACCAGTTTGATTCAAAACACTTTATTCAGTGGGACAATATAACAGATGCTCGAAGCCTTAAAATGAAATCCTATATATTGTAATTAGAAACAAGAATAACAAAACGGTATTAAAATTACCATTTAAACAATAATAATGTGTCTGGTCATTATTAACAGTATTAATTTAATAATAATTTCAAGCTTCAGAGTCATTTTTTCTTCAGTTTTCATAAGCTTTGCTTATAAAAATACCTATTTATGAGACACAATGTTTTTGTGAACAAATGACAAGGAGCCTTCAACCTACAGGTTTAAAGATTGCGATTTGTGAAAAATTTCACAGCTTTTATTTAAACAATATCTAATACCTGTTTGCATTTCTAGAAAGCTTAGTTTGAATAAAGTGGATCCCAGGTGCAAGTGACTTCATAACACAGGAAGGCATTATGCTATATTTTTTATGCATCAGTTGAAGCCTTCTGAAGTCTCTTAAAAACATAAAAATGTAACATAATATTGTGTGGCATGATGGGCAAAAGATTCTTTTAATTTTAAGAAAATCAAAAATAGCATACAATAATGCGTGTGCCTTAAATAGATATTGCATGGTTTTAAAACCCATAAAAAACAGGTTTAGTTAAAAACAGGAAATCCACAAAAAATTGGTCATTTTTCTTCCTTGTGATCATCTTAGAATCTTTATGTGAGCTGTAAGTCTTTTTAACTGAAACATTTTAAACACTTCAATTTTGTAAACGCAACACGGATTCCGTACAGATACAGTACAATCACATTTTCCTGTCTTCCCGTGGTGTGAAACGAATTAGCAGGTGATTGAGAAAACATTGCACCGGCCACTGAGCTCAGTCAGGGAAGAGGTGACACCGATTGTATTTCTGACTATTATGTCACAGTTCAATATTTTACATACATCTAAAGTCAGGTGTAAGGTGCATAAACTATTAGTAATCAATAATTAGTATTAAAATTCACACTGTGATAAATTGTTGCATTTCCACATCTTGTAAAAACATTAATTTGCAAGATTGTGTTCAAACATATGTTACTGTAAATCTGACTATCAAAAAACCAGGGTTCACTTTTTTTCTGTCTCTCCCTACTCTTTCTCACCTGCTGTGGTTCGGACACAGAATGGTTAAAAATGGGAACAGGTGAGGCAGGCAGAAGGAAGGGGGGGGTGGGAGGTGTCTTCCCACCTCTATGACCAAAGAAAGTGTAAAAGAAAAATGGTTTGAGCGACACACAGAGCCAAGAAGTTTGATGTGGTCTTCTGTGCTTTAAAGGTACACTCCTTGTGGAAGAATTTTCACCTCGAATATTTGCACAGAAGCAAACTGAATACAAAATGTACTTGCAAGAATAGCGATTACAAACATTAAAAAAACATACTTGCTTAATACTGTTATACTGTACAGTGTATTAAAACACTATATGGTCACTAGACTGTGAGTAATGCTACCTACTAAACCTCTTTTCCACAATTTCACAGGGGCAAGGTCACACAGCTGATTCACAGATGGATACAATTTTATCTAGCAAAAATTCAGATATTTGTCAACATATTTACTAAAACTATCCATCTCAGTAATCTCACTGTTAGTCTCACTGACAACCCAGTGCTCACTCAATGTTCACACTCCCAGTAAAATAAAAAAAATGTTTTCTGCATTGTCACCTCGCACCTCAGTCATTTCACTGACAAAGGGCGTGATGTGTTAACACAAACTCTGCTTAACAGAGCAACTTGTAAGAGCAATGTGACTTTCTGCTCAATTAAATAAAGCTA